CCAGTGAGGCCCAGAACTTAAAGGGCTGCGCCTATACACATAGAATCTGGGGTTACAGTACGTAACAAACGTTCTATTTCGTATAGGCTTTGCCCTTTAAGGCTATCGCTAGTGGGTTAAAGGCGAAGCAGGATGTAGTCTATGTCTCACTGGGTCCATTCAGACACAAACATGAAGCACCTGCTTGCACAAAAAAAAACCATTTCATTACTCAGCCTTCTGTGTGCGTAATTATGTGCTGCGTAGAGCTGTCCCTGTAATGCACCAACAGATGCTGAGAGCAGCGCAGTGTGGCCGTGTGTGCCACATAACATGAAAGTGCACGCATGAGACAGAGAAGGTGAGATGTTGCTTCCTCCTCAGAATTATGAGGAGGAGGATAAAACTCATCCAAGGTTATCACTCTCGATCTGAATGAGCTTGTGATGCTTTTCAGAGCAAGGTTAAGATGCAGTACAGCTGAACTGCCATCAGCTTGAATTCTGAGACATGAGGGAGCGACAGAGAGAGCAGAGAAATCATTCACTCTCTTTATCCATGCCAGAGCTAACAGCAGGGCTGGTTTAAGTGACAAAAATTTAAGTGAAACCTGATCTAAAGGCTCAAAAAGAGCTTTGAACAGAGCGCGCAAGACCATCGTTAGGTCCCACTGTGGAGCTAGTGGACGTGACACAGGTCTGTACCTCCGTACACCTTTCAGAAAACGCTTCATCAGCGAGTGGTTAAAAACTGTTGTCACTGAAAAAACTCATGACAGGAAGAAATAGCTGCAGCACAAGTTTTAATTGTGCTGAACACTAAATTTCTGTTCATCAGTTGCTGTAGAAATGACAGCACACCACCTAATGGACATGAGATGGCCTCCACGCCTTTCTCTGTACACCAGCGCTGAAAAACTGTCCACTTTGATGTGTACAGCGCTGTGGTGGAAACGGCTCGTGCGCCCTGAATCGTACGCAACACATCCTGTGGGAGGCCCATCTTTCAGTGTTGTCAGATAAAGTCAAGGTTTTCCAGCCCAAAAATCTAACAATATGTGGCAAAACACAACAATCCAACAAAAATCTTCCCAGAGTTCCCAGCAAAATCAGAATGAAAACAGCCCAATTGGTAGTAAACTGCCCAATCTGGTCACACTGCCATCTTTTCTAAACGGATCCGTTCAGCGGCCAAATCCAAAAGAGCTGACCTATTTCTGGGTAACTCCTGATCTCCTGATTTCTCTTCCTGCCTGGGGAGAGAGCGTCCCCCCCCCCCGGCAGTTTTCACAGCCGACCTGATATCAGTCGCTGCAGATTCGGGAAACATGGGGCGCTTATGCACTCGAGAGCTATGAGGATGACTGACAGTTCTTCCTCCCAGACCTGGTCCAGGGTCCGTGATATCAGCAGGACTGGAGGAAACACCTAAAGGAGCATTTTTGGCCACGGGCTGTGAGCAAAGGCGTCCACCCCTAACGGTGGGTCGTCTCGTGGGCTCAGTGAGAACCATAATTGACACTGGGCGTTCTCCCGTGTGGCGAAAAGATCCACTGCTGCTCAGCCGAACCTGTTCCAAATCCGAGAGATCGGCTTGGGATGGAGGCTCCAGTCTCTGTGGCGGGGACTGCCCCTCGACATTATGTCCACTCCCCTGTTCAGGACACCGGGAATGTACACTGCTCTGATGGAGAGCAGGTTTTTGTGTGCCCAACACAGCAGCTGTCTCGCGATGCGTAACAGTTGGGCTGAGCGCATGCCTCCCTTACGGTTTATGTAAGCTGCCGTCAGGCGGACGAACCATCTCTGAAGATGTCTCATGTGAAGCAAGCCCACAACCACAACGTGAGCCGATGACATTATTCCTAGAAGTCACATGACTGAGAGAGCTGTTACTACACTGAGGGGTTTGACGCGGCAGAGTTGAGCTGACAGAGCTTCGGCTCTCGGCTGTGGTAAACGGGCTCTCATTATGGTTGAGTTTAGCTCCACTCCCAGATAAACAATCATCTGGGACGGGAGAACAGAACTCTTTTCCCAGTTTATAGAAAACCCCAGGTTTACCAGGTGTAACATTTGCGTTTTGGTTTGTGCAGCTGCTTCCTGTCTGGATTGAGCTAATAAAAACAGATTGTCCAGATAAAAAAAAAAAATTCATTCCTTCCATGTGTAACGGCTGCAGAGCCATCTCCACACATTTTGAGAACGTCTGTGAGGCGAGGGAATAACCAAATGGCAGCCTGTTGTACTGATACGGAATCCCCTGGAAGGAGAAACGCAAGAATTTCATGTCTTTTGGAATGATGGGAATGTGAAAAAATGCGTCATTCAAATCTGTGGAAATGAACCAGTCGTTCCGGTGAATGTTCTCCAGCAGCTGTTTGGTTGTCAGCATGTGGAATTGTCACTCCATGATCGATTTGTTGAACATGGACAGGTCGAGAATGGGTCTCATCCCTCTGTTTTTTTTTCAGAACCAGGAAGTAACTTGAGTAAAATCCCATGTTTTCCTCTCCGTTGGGAACCCTGGAAATTGTTTTTATCAGTAGTTCCTGAACTTCTGATTGGAGAGACGAGTTCTGTTCTGGAGATGACAGAACCGTCTCTATAATCCCTCTGAACGGTGGGGGTTGAGCTGCAAACTGCAGCGTGTAACACCTGCTGATCATACGGTCCATCCATCTGTCCAGGGAACACACTCGCTGCAACTCTGCAGGTGATGGGGCCCTCCAGCAGGTCTCTCTGCAGCCTCTCGGACAAAGATGGCAAGAGGCGGAGCCAGGTGGTTCTCTGGATCATGGTCATCCAGGCGGCGATGTGGGACAGGCAGACCGCAGAGGTGGCGCACATGTTTAAGACGACGTCAGCGTCTTTACAGAGAGCTCTTTGTCTTCTCCAGCAGGTCTGCTTCCTCCAGCCTCTTGGAGATGCTGTAGGCCAGCAGGGCGACATTGTTTTTCGCTGCGGCCATCTGAAATGAGCACTGGTGTGCTCGGTTGGAGAGCTTTGTCATCATCTGGTCATGCTTCCCTGGAGGGACAGGTTGCTGGTCCGTCCTGGAAGCTTTTGCCCTAAGCGCCTCCACCAGGCTTGGCTCCGGGGGGGAACCGAGGGAAAAACTCAGATCGGTAAAACTGTCCACTCTGGAGATGGAGGCAAAGGTGGAGACGGGCGTCTTCAGTTTGCCGGGCCCAGATGCAGCCTCGTTCCAGTAGGATGTCACTGCTGGAAAGCGGGGCCAGATGGGGTCAGGGCGACGAGCCAGGGCGGAGCCAAACCATCCCGCCAGATCATTCGAACGGGGCGGAGGGAGGCGAGGGACGGAAAGTCCCTTTGTGTTAGCAGCCTCCTGGATTATGTTGGGCAGTTCCGAGAGCAGGGCGCCGACGGCTGGGAGCGGTGTGGTCGCCAACGTGGGAAGACCCAAGGTGGCTGAGCATTCGATCGACCACTCTTCTTCCGTCACTACGCTCTACAGGAGGGAAGGGGCAGCTAGGCTGTTGCCAGCATCGTCTTTCTTGGAGGAATCAGTCTTTCTTGGAGGAATCATTCGATTCACTGCGATGGCGTCGTCCAGCGAGTAGCAGGTCACCACAGAAAAACACTCCTCGGCACTTAACTTGAACAAGGCTGCTCATCTCTGCTTCTGCTCGGGGGAGAAGAGCTCACAGGGACGGCAGGAGGTCGGTGTGGTGGAGACCCAGGCATCATTAGCAAAAGTTGTGCCGGTCAAAGCTGGACATCTTTTCCTTCTTCGTTCTTCTGACAGTGCTAGCTAACTTGCTGAAGAAAAAATGGGAGCCGATTGCCTGGTCTTACCGTAATTTATATGGACCGGGGGTGGGGCCCACACAGCCGGTGGGCGCGGACTAAAGTTTTCAGTGCTGCGCTGCGTGCAAAGGGATAAACCCACTAGTGATAGCCTTAAAGGGCAAAGCCTATACAAAATAGATCACTTTAATATCCACTTTAAAGCTAGGAATTAAAAAAAAACAACATGTTTTGTGTTAGCAGGATTTAATTCTAACTTTGAAACTTATCCAACATTCATAAAACTTACCTCATGTTGCCTTTTTGGACATGCATATATTTGTACACGTTCTTTCCTATAGAGAGGAGATTATTACAGCCTCATATAAAATCAATAATGATGATGATATTGGGACGGTATCGGACGATATCCAGATTTAAGTATCGGGATCGGATCGGAAGTTAAAAATGTGGATCGGTGCATCCCTAATTATAAACGCCCACAACAGCATTAGCTAGTAGAATCAGCAGTAGTTTCAGTTTTTAGAATTCCAGCAAAAGCGGGTCTGTTGTTTGTATTGACAAACAAGTAATGACCCACTTCTAAAACAGGCTGCTGTGATGGACTTATGACTTGTCCAGGGTGTTCCTGCATCTCACACAGTGACTGCTGGACATAACTCCAGCTCCCTGTGAACCGGAAAAAAAAATTGGGTAAAACAAATGATGGATTGCTGCCATCTTAAAACTCAGATCTTCAGCAGTTCAGGAAACACTATTATGGTATGCTATTTCAGCTGAAAATTTGCAAAATACCTGCCAAACTTGACCTTAGGCTAGGAAGTACTACTGCTGCTGATATTTGCATAAAACACACACACACACAAAACATGACTGAGCCAGCTTTATGAGTGGAAGCAAACTAACTGTAAGTGTACAAATACTGTATGCTTTGCTTTAAAAATAGTAGTCATATGCTGGGGTATCAAAATCATAAAAATTCATTAATCATCATTTTATGATCCCATCGCTGCCATTTCAATCATAATCAAATCGAATCATGAGATGCCTAAAGATTCCCACTCTTCCTTGCTGTTAGCTCATGAATCTAGTCAGAAATAAAAGTCTGTTTCTCCTAAATGAATCTGGTAAAAGTGTAATAAACAACTGGTATATTATTTGATATCCACAGAACGTCAGGGGTTCAAAGAGGCCAGAATATTCCTTTAACATTCCAACATGAACACTTAAATAACTTTATGTCTCTCTTACCTGGGAACTAGATCCTTTCCCAGCACCACAGACACTACAAAGTCCTTGGTGTAATCAGCTAAAGCTTTACTGCATGTAAAAAAAACAAATGAAACAAAAAAAGAGATGTGTTAAGTCAACCTTAATAAAATAAAGAGTGATGATTTAGAAGAACCAGAAACTCAACAAGCAAAAGACCCCCAGATGGGTTTCTCTCTAACATAAAAACACAAATATTTCAGCTGGACAAAACTGGCTCTCAGACTCGGGCAGACCTCAGTCCACACAGAAACTGTGCGCACTGTCCGCAGACGGTTGAGACTTCATACTTAAGCGCCGATTGGTCATTTGCTGATATTCTTCCTGGATTGATTGACAGGTCACAAAAGAGAGAGAGAGAGCTGGTAGCAAGCAGCAGCAGTTTTCTGTGTTTATATGTTGTTAATAAGAAGTTTAAAAAATAAAATAAAAACAGGAAGCGCTGGCCCTGCAGCCCACACATCAGACCGACCTACCGGAAAATATCCAGAACCTCCCGCAGCCACGCTGGGCCTGATTTTAATTTGCTCTTTACGAATTCCTTCATTTTTTTTTTTTCATTCATTCAACCTTTATTTAAACAGATAAATCACATTGAGCCTCGAAGACTCATTTACAAGTGAGACCTGTTTGGACAGACAAAAACAGTGGTTAACTGGACACATGTAGGAGTTGGAGGCAAAAAGAAATCCTATCAGACTTTTTTCTTGGCTGAGAAAAACCTCTAATATTGAAAAAACACCTCGCACAAACAAGCACATATTTACGTAGACATTCTGCAATAGAGCAGAGCAGGAAGAAGGAAGAGACGGGAGTGGTCAACAACGTCTACAGATGCTCTCGAGGTCACTGTAATCAGTCAATGTCCTCCTGTGAGATCCATAAACATTCTCGAGGTATGTCGAAGAATGACCAAGAATAACCCCTGAGAATCCAGAGTCCTGAAATGATGACACAAAGTTTTTTCAGCTGGGTTTCATCTGGTTATCAGTTGGAAATTCCTCAGGGAGGAGGTGGTGAGCATCAGATCACATTTTCTCCAGGCAAAATTCAGATAAGGTGGCCTTCAAGGCCAGCCAAGGCGACCAAAATTTAGATAAACACACAGTTGTTTTGGGGACAGGCAGAACTTAATGACATCTACCTTGAGTCTGTGTTTGGTCCACTCGGTTCCAAAATGTCCAAAATAACATGGTTACACCGATGGAACATGACTGAGTAAAAATCCCCAAGATCTGATCCATTCAGCCCAAAGCATCTGAGTCCGGGTACTCGAGACATGAAACCAAACCATCATAAAGGCAAGCAGCGTGATCGGGTCCAAATTTGCTGCCGACGACTTCCTTGATTGTAGATAAAAACCAGCACCAGCTGAATCCAAAAAGCAGGAACCAATTATCGTAAATCCAATTAAATATGCGTCCTTAAAATCCACAGAATGGCAGCAGAGATGGACACATCATCAAGTCTTCCAGTCGATGAGATATCCAGCTGCGTACGTGCCAACAGGGCAAATCGGCTCACCTAAAGCCTGTCTTCTCTTCGAAGAAATGTTGTAAATTGAGTTGAGGGACCAACTGGTCAAAACAAGTCCATAATTATGATTCAGAAGAAATGCAAGAGTCTCAGAAGCAGTTTCACAGACAGACAGAGAAGCAAAGCGGAGAGGGAGGGAGGGAAGCATCCGATCTTGGCTTGAGCAAGTGGTGAAGTGACAATCTCTCACAAATGACAATTTCTCACAATTTCAGTCATGGCGTCAACAGACAAGAAGGAAGAGATTGCTTGCCTTTTGGCAATAAAAACAAAAGAAAAGGCCATTAAACCAGACCACAGATGAAGAAGGGGAATTTAATACATTGGCGCTGTATACAAAAAAGTCCGTCACCAGGCAGGTTATTGTGCGACACAGAGTACGCGGTCATAAAAATTGATCTTTGCACGGACATGCCTTGTGGGCGTCTGCTTTGAGTCTAATTTGGTACACGCGGACCTTCATGGGCTAAGGTCAGCCTGAGTATGTGTGAGCCTTGAGTCCCTTGTATAAAAGTGTGTTTGTACTTAAAAAGCAAGACCAGCTCAGGTGTGTCCACTGTAAAACTAAAGGCTCAGATGTACATCAGTCCGCGGAGGTCTGCACGTATCAGATTAGGTTTGAAGCGGAGGGCATGTCCGCGCAAAACTCAATTTATGCGACCGCGTACACGTACTCTGTGTTGCACAATAAACTGCCCGGCGAATGACTGTTTTGTATGCGACATCAATGTATTGAATTAATTAAAGGGCGGCTGTGGCTGAGTGGTTAGAGCAGTCATCCTCCAATGCAAAAGGTGGGGGTTCGAATCCACCAGCAGTCACATGCCGAAGTGTCCCTGGGCAAGACACTGAACCCCTCATAGCCTCTGATGTGTGTCCCATCAGTGAATGAATGTGATAAAGCTCTGATTAGTCTCTTTAGAATGATTTGTTCAATTAGCTTTGTAGAGATCTAGTAGAGTGTTGAATGAATGGGTAAATGAGGACACAGATTATAGTGGAAAGCACTTTGAGTATCTTGATAAGATAGAAAGGCGCTATATAAGTACAGTCCATTAAATTCCCCTACTTCATTCATGGTCTGGTTTAATGGCCAAGAGACAAGTGAGCTCTACCTCCTTCTCCGTTGACGCCATGACTGAAATAGAGACAAATGAAGGAATTTATCACAAGCAAATTAAAATCAGGTCCATAGTGGCTGCGGGAGAGTCTGAAGATTTCCTGGTGATTTGGTCTGATGTGTGGGCTGCAGGGTCAACGCTCCTTGTTTTCTTTTACTTTTTAGAACTTTTTATTAACAACATATAAACACAGAACATTGCTGCGGCTGGAGCTGCCAGCTCTAGGTTGTTTTTTTTTTGCGACCTGTCAATCAATCCAGTAGGCGTGTCATCAAATGACCAATCAGCAAACTCAATTTGTCCCTAAGGTAAACGTCACTTGCCTGCGGTGCTGGTCTGCAGCCGCTCGGGGTGGACGCTCGAGTACGAAGTCTCAACTGTTTGCGTACAGTGTGCTTCGAATCCGTGCGGAAAAAGGTCAGTGCGAGTATACTGGAGCCTTAACACCGTGCCATACCTCAGGAGCCCCCCAGGTGGAGAGAAGGAGTAGCACTGCAGGGTGGGGAAGGAGCTGCGTAGAAGGATGGCCAGCAATGCAGCTGTGCCCGCGCCCAGACTGTGACCGGTGATGACCAGATTATACTCCTACAAGGACATACACACATACTGCTCACTGAGAAGGGTAGCCATGATCCACCCCAATGATAGGCTTTCTACATAGATGCTCAATTGCTGTTTCGGATTAGGCTTTTAAAAATAATAGTGCGGTATCTCTAAAATTGCCAGTTCAAAGTTACACATCTAACAAGAACAATACAATAATACAAAATATGCACACACATAAAAATATATAAATAAAAACAAGAACACATAAAAAGGCAAAACATTTTGACCAGTTTTAGCAGTAGAAAAGTACGTCTTAGTTTACAGAAGAGATGTACTAGTTCTAGTTTTGTGAGCCGACAGAAATTTTCAATATTTGTACAGCTCTGACCTGCCAAAACAGATTTTTAATTGCTAATTTCTCTCAAAGAATGTTAATTAACAGAATACAAAGCCTCTGTGTTTATCAGAGATTTTTTTACTCATGATTTCTGGTTAAATTGAAAACATTTAATTGGTTCACAAAAAAATTCAAGAAATAATGACACAGAGGCATTTGTTCTAATAAAATCCATTCTAAAAAAAATTTACAGTAAAGTATATTTAATTCATAAGTCAGATTATAGCTCCTTAACATTTTAGGTTTTTTTTTTTTTGCAAACTACACCTCAGTTTTTAGTTTTCTCCACAAGATGTGTCACAATAATAAGCAGCTTTGTCATATATATGTATTTTTTTCTTCTTTCGGCTGCTCCCTTCTTCAGGGGTCGCCACAGCGAACAAAGCCACACGAAGACTTAGCAGTTTTTTGGGGGTTTTTACGCCGGATGCCCTTACTGATGCAACCACAGATCAACGAGTTACCACAGCCCTCTGTGTGTCAGAGTCAGAGTCAAAGTCAGAGTTTCTTTATTGTCATTCGCACCTCATGTGGTACATGTGGTGGAGCGAAATTATGTACACAGAGTCCCATTTACATCCAACAATAAAATGTATAAGAAAAACAGCAACAACATCTAAGATATGAACCAAGAAAAACATCAACTAAATATACACTAAGCACTCATAAAATAAAACATTGAACATCAGCACAAACATGAACATGAGTCTGTGAGCAGATGTGCACGCATGAACACATCAACATGAAACAGATCAGCAGCAACATGATGTGATTTTTCACAGTGATTATTCTAGTTAGAGATTCATGAGTCTAACAGTGTAGGGATGGCACCATCTAGTGGGCCTTCCCCCTGTCTTTTCTCCCTTGTGTCTGTATTGATTGTCTGATTATCGTCACCTGTGTCATGTCCTGGTTGTGTGTATATAAAGTCTGTCTGTCAGTTCTGTCATTGTTCGGTTCGTCGTTGGGTATTGCCTGTCCTGTCCTGCCTGTCTGATCCTGTTCTTGAGTCCTTGTTGTAAGTTTTGCTGCCATGTCAGCCTTTTGATTTATTATTATTATTATTATTATTATTATTAAAAGTATTTTATTTTATACGTCTGCCTCCTGAGTCCTACCTGCGCAACTGGGTTCTCCTGTCCTGATCTGCCTTGAAAACCCTGACAAACAGCTTCAGGGTAGAAGCTGTTCCTCAGTATAGTGGTTCTACACTTAATGCTTCTCAACCTCCTTCATGAGGGGAGCGGGGCAAAAAGTGTGTGTGCTGGGTGAGTGGGGTCCTTCATGATGCAGGTGGTCCTCTTCCTGCATCTGGAGGTGTAGATGTCTGTGACGGTGGGGAGACTGACTCCAACAGTCTTCTGTGCAGCCTTCACCACTCTCTGCAAAGCTTTTCTTTCTGCAGCTGTGCAGCCTCCATGCCACACGTTGATGCTGGAGCACAGGATGCTCTCCACTGCACACCTGTAGAAGGAGGTGAGGACTGAGCTTCCCAGACCAGCTCGCCACAGCCGCCGGAGGAAGTAGAGTCTCTGATGATCTTTCTTCATCAGGCTGGTGGTGGTGTTGCTCCAGCTGAGGTTGTTGTTCATGTGCACACCCAAGTACTTGTAGCTGGAGACCACTTCCACCGCAGATCCTCTTATGTTCAGGGGGGTGTAGATGTTTTTGTTCCTTCTGAAGTCCACAATCATCTCCTTTGTCTTCTTCACATTGATGTGAAGGTTATTCTCTTTGCACCAGCTCTCCAGGTGTTCCACCTCTTGCCTGTAGCTGGACTCATCATTGTTTGTGATGCATCCCACCACCACTGTATCATCTGCAAACTTTACAATGTGACAGCCTGGATGGGCAGCTGCACAATCATACGTGAGCAGAGTAAACAGGAGAGGCCTCAACACACATCCCTGAGGAGAGCCAGTGCTGAGGGTTATGGTGGAGGAGGAGAAGTTGTGGATCCTCACTAACTGTGGTCTGTTTGTTAAGAAGTCTAGGACCCAGTTGCAAATGAAGGGGCTTAGTCCTAGTGTGGATAGTTTGTTCATTAGGGTTTGGGGGATCATGGTGTTGAAGGCGGATGTGAAGTCCACAAAGAGCATACGGACGTAAGAGTTTTTCTGCTCCAGGTGGTTGAGCGCAGTGTGGACCACAGAGGAGATGGCATCCTCTGTTGATCGGTTCTCACGGTATGCATACTGATGAGGGTCCTCGTTGATGTTGATGGTTGTTCTGATGTGAGTCATGACCAGTTTTTCGAAGCATTTAGCGATTACTGGGGTGAGGGCCACTGGCCGATAGTCATTCAGACCAGTCACTGTAGAGCTTTTTGGGACTGGGATGATGGTGGCAGTCTTCAGGTGGGAACTGTCTCCAGGGTAAGTGAGGTGTTAAAGATGTCTGCCAGCACCTCACAGAGCTGATCGGCACGTTCCTTCAACACTTTTCCGGGGATGTTGTCTGGGCCAGTTGCTTTGTGCAGATTAATCCGCGTGTGGAGGGGAATGCTGCTATCTAGGACACCCGGAGAAGCAGATGGTGGGGGTTAAGGGCCTTGCTCAAGGGCCCAGAGTGGGGCGAATGAGGGTGGGGGCAGGTGTGGGTGCTTCACCTACCCCACCCATGATTTTGATGTTGTCGGTACCGGGGCTTGAATCGGCGATCTTCCAATCACAGACCCACCTTCTCTAACCTCTGCTCCACCACTCCCTAAGTATATCTCAATATACATATATACATATATATCTAAATTTACATATTGTGTATATATATATAAATACATATATATATATATAAATATAAGTACATATATATATATATATATACACACACACACACACACATATATATATATATATATATATATATATATATATATATATATATATACACACATATAGATAAAGATATTTTGCTAACATATAAAAAAGCTCTCCGTAAAGCTAGAACTTTATATTACTCATCTTTAATAGAGGAGAATAGAAATAACCCTAGGTTTCTGTTTAGTACTATTGCTAGACTAATTAAAAGTCCCATTTCTGTTGAACCATGTAACCCTACAACTATAAGTAGTGATGACTTCATGAGATTCTTTATAAATAAAATTATTTCAATTAGAGAGAAAATTCAAACCATCCTTCCTTCTACTATCTCTAGTCCCCTGTCAAATGAGGCAACTTTAAAAATTTCACTAGAGTCTGATTTATGTTTGGACAGTTTTTGTCCTGTTGAGCTCTCTGAATTGTCAAAAAGAATAACTTCATCCAAACCATCCACATGCCTGCTAGATCCCATCCCAACCAGACTGTTTAAAGAGGTATTTCCCCTAATTAATGTCCACATTTTGGATCTACTTAATTTGTCTTTAATGAATGGTTATGTACCACAGCGCTTTAAGGTTGCTGTAATTAAACCCTTACTTTAGAAGTTTGACCTTGATTCAGAAATCCTAGCCAATTATAGACCTATATCTAATCTAACCTTTATCTAAAAAAATTCTAGAGATAATAGTTGCAGGTCAGTTACATGAACATCTACAAAGAAATAATCTGTTTGAAGAGTTTCAGTCAGGGTTTAGAGCTCATCATAACACAGAAACAGCACTAGTAAAAGTCACTAATGATATTCTCATGGCCTCAGACAATGGACTTGTGTCTATACTGGTCCGGTTAGACCTCAGTGCTGCATTTGATACAGTTGATCACAATATTTTACTAGAGAGGCTTGAAAATGATATTGGGATTACAGGAAAGGCTCTAAAATGGTTTAAATCATATTTATCTGATAGATTCCAGTTTGTAAATGTAAATAATAAATATTCTTCATACACCAAAGTTAGTCATGGAGTTCCTCAGGGCTCAGAGCTTGGGCCAATACTCTTTACTTTATATATGCTTCCATTAGGTAAAGTTATTAAACAACATGGGATAAATTTTCATTGTTATGCTGATGACACAATTATATTTGTCCATTAAACCCAATGAATCCAATCAGCTATTTAGACTACAAGCATGTCTTAAAGACATAAAAACCTGGATGACCCTTAATTTTCTCCTGTTGAACACAGACAAGACTGAGGTTTTGGTTTTTGGACCTGAGCACCTTAGGAATGAATGTTTCAGTCTTTCTCCCTCCTTAGATGCATTAATCTGTCCTCCAGCTCTAATGTTAAAAATCTTGGTGTTATTTTTGATCAGGACATGTCTTTTATCCCCCACATTAAAAACGTTACTAGAACCTCCTTCTTCCACCTGCGTAATATCACTAACATTAGAAACATCTGATCTAAAGATGATGCAGAAAAACTGGTCCATGCATTTGTCACGTCTAGACTGGACTACTGCAATGGTTTATTATCTGGGTGTTAAATACTTCTTTAAAACGTCTTCAGTTGATCCAAAATGCTGCTGCCAGAGTCTTAACTGGAGTTACTGGGAGAGATCATCTCTCTCCAGTTTTAGCTTCTCTCCATTGGCTCCCTGTCAAATCCAGAATAGAATTCAAAATCTTACTTCTAACCTACAAAGCTCTCAACAACCTAGCTCCATCTTATATTACAGATCTTATTGTTCCATATTTTCCTAACAGAGCACTTCGCTCTCAGGCTGCAGGTTTACTTGTGGTTCCTAGAATTTACAAAAACAGA